TATATATATATATATATATGTTTAAAATAATAATGTATGATAATTTTAATTACGTTACATATATAAAGCTCTCTTTAAAAATTTAAATATGAACAAAGTTGCGTTTTTTTAAAAATTATTATAATAAAACTGCAAATTTTTTCAGACGGATCTGACGGCGAGTTCAACTTCGTATTAAGCGACGGCGCACATACAACGGAGTCTTACACAATCTTGGTCACCACGGAACAAGTTCACTTGAATATCGCGCACAATGTGCCCCTTAATGTCTTCCCTCTTACTAGGAAATTAATATCAGACAAGCTCTTATTAACGATGTGTTCGGACGAAGCGAGGGAGATTAGATACACTGTGCGAAATGGGCCCCATTTAGGCAAAGTTATAATGGAGACAAGCGAGGGAGTATGGCTTGAGGTCGAGCGATTTACTCAGAGAGATATCAACAATAGCAAAGTGATTTACGAGCATACCAAGCAGTTCATGGACCTGATGGCCAACGATTCTTTCATGTTTGATGTTGAGACACACTTCTCTGGAACTTTAACAAATCAGGTACATAGATTGCACAACCATAGAAAACTTACTTTTTCTAACGTTATCTAAAGGAGTACGTTATTACATTTATATAATCTTGTAACTTACAAAGAAGAGATATTTTCAAACAAATTGAAAAATCTACTTTATTTCGCAGATTTTCCAAATAGATATATCCGTCTCGAGCGGCGGCTTAGATCGATACATCTCCGCAAAAAGCGTTCGAGTCGTCGAAGGTGGCTCCGCGCAGGTCGTTATGAACATCAGTGGTATCGTTTCCTTTCTGCAAATCAACGCCGGAATTGAAAATCCGGCGGTGCTGTCGCGATTGATTTACCAGCCCGATCACGGACACGTCATGCTGCTCCCGGACTTAAACGTGACCACATTCACGCAGCCGCAGATCGAAGGCGGAAAGATCGCTTACTATCACGATCACTCGGACACATTGGAGGATCGTATTCAGTTCTCTCTCTACTTAACGCCTGGCCACGTATTGCTGTGCAATATCAGTATTCCCGTCGTCATCGAACCGATCAACGACGAACCATTCAAACTCGTCACAAACGCCCCGTACATCACTGTTGTTCAAAATCAAAATCAAACCATTACTCGCGACAATCTACTGACTACCGATCCCGACTCCCCACCGGAGGAGATCACGTACGACGTGATTTCGGGACCGACATACGGCAGACTGTTGCTCCTGCCGTTCGATCAGAACACGTCGGACGTGCGTCGAGTGAACAAGTTCACCCAATACGACATAGATTCTAATCGAGTGGTGTACGAGCACAACGGGCCGCTGCAAGCGGCCTCGTTCTACTTCAGAGTGTGGGACGGTCGATTCAATCCGACTTACACTGTCTTCAACGTCCACGTTTTGCCTATTCGATTGAACGTCACGGTACCGAGTCCGGTGAACTTGCAGCAAGGCTCGAACGTCGCGCTCATTACCGAGAGTAACGTTTTACTCGACACGAACGCGCGTCAGGATCTAGTGATCTACGAGATCACTACGCGTCCAAAACACGGAGTGTTGTACGTGCGAGATAGCGCCGCGGCAACGTTCAAACAGACCGATCTGCTGTCAAAGAGCGTGATGTTCATGCAGACGGATATGACGGTGTCAAACGACAGCCTGGAATTATCGGCGCGACTTAGCGGTTTCGATCAGGAACGCATACGCGTCGATATCAAAGTTACGCCGCTCATGATTATGAATCCAATGACAGCGATAGCGAGCGAGAAGAATCAGATAACGTTGCAGTACTTGGACGCAACTCCCTTGGCAAAACTGACGACCAGCAATCCGATGTACACCATCGTGAGGAAACCGAAATACGCCAAAATAAAGAGAATCATCAGAAGTTCCTCGTCGTCCGGAGAAAAAAGGGGCACGCGCGAGCGGGAGGTGGCCCGGTTCTCTCACCAAGAAATCATTTCTGGCGTGATATACCTAGTATGCAGGAAAATACCTTCGATAGAAGGTGTCACAGACAGCTTCACTTTTGTTCTAGCGGCGTCCATTTTCCAACCAGCTGTGGACGACTTCGAATTCCGTATCAAACTTGACATAGATGACGATAACATCACTTTGGGGGGTCCAATGGATCCGGTCGGTCACGAGGGTGAGATGGCGATCGCTCCGAACATGAGCAACGATTATCTATTGATTCTCGGTATGTTACTCGGCGTGTTCCTACTTGGAGTAGTGGTGATCATCACAATCAGATGTCGGCAGAATCGTTATAAGCACGCCGAGGAAGAGAAACCGGAAACCGCGCCCGCAGTCGGCGTGATGCCACTTCCTAGACCGCCTGATCATTTGATGCCGGCCACTCCGCACTTGAAACCTTTCGGCAATGATCACAACAGCGTAACAGCGAGCACGCCGCTGCCGGTGTTACCCTCGACGTTACCGCAATGTAAAGTCATACCGTTGAGTCCTCTGGAGACCGGTTCGGAGGTCGACGTTTCTGCCAGGTATCCTTACGGGGTTGCGGACGGCGACGAGTGGAGCAGTTTTGACACTTCCGATTTGCCCTGTCAATCTGCCACAACTCAAAGAACCAAAAAAAATCCTTTACTCAGAAGAGATCAGTACTGGGTCTAGCAGGAGAGTAATACGCTGCGGCTCGCGCGAAGACAGCCGTAGCGTTGCTATTCCCGGCGTATCTCGCACGAGAGTCGGGACTATTGCGGACTCGATGTGTCTAAAGAAAGTGTTATCTGCGACGGAGTCACACGCGGCGATTTGTCGAAATCCGAGATTATTGTCCAACCGGACGTGTGTAAAATCGATGTTAGATAACGACAGTGAAACGCGACTACTTTAACATTGTGACGAAAAAAGCTCTCTCGGTGATTATCGGCCACGTGCCGGTGCACGTATCCGTTTGTGCGATTGGAAGAAAAAACGAAAAAAAAACGAATAAACTCCTGAACCAGGAAATATAACGAACCAAAAACAAATGAGAATAACTCGCGAGATAGTTCGCAGTGTTGTGTCTTGTGTATTATTAGTTTAAAAAACGATATATAAACAGGAAGTCTAGATCTCCTTGAATGTTATGATTATCGTCGCTATCACGAGCTCAATGTGCCTAAGAGATATCTGACTCTGCTGACGTTTTTTCACTGATCACTACTCGTCGATCTTTCGTGTATATTAAAAAACTGTAAGTCCCTTTTTCCTCCCTTCCCTCCTACGTAGATCGAAATAAACTCGATCGTTAAATTTAGACGGATTGATTATTCACTTATACACCAAAAAAAAAAAAGTTTTTAAAAAACTCTTCAACTCGAATTTAAACGAAAAGTCCGTCGGTACGCACTGGCTCGTTTTAGAGCGCAGACTTTTCAAAAAAAAGGTTCACGTAACGCGTTTTGCGCGTTTTCCTTCACCTCCTTCCATTTTTACATTTTTTGTAAAAAGCGCAGGACCGTAAAAATTCTTTATTAAAAAAACAAAACAAAAAAAAAAAAAAAAAAAACTATATCCCTACTGTCGCAAATCGAAGACAAGATCGAATCGTTGAGAAAAAAGAAACTTTGCTTTCTTTCAAACTTCGTATTAAGGAGGAAAACAAGAATTGAATGAGATAAAAATAATATACAAAAAGGGCTTTGTAACAATATATCATACAACAAAATCGAATATACACAACGTATACTCGAATATTCGTATGTTCCTGCTTTTCTGCTACTCGACAAATGCATTTATATTGATAATCAACTGTAAGTTAAGACACATTTTTTTATATTGTCAAGTTATTCGAGCGTCTCATTTTATTTTATTTTACTGCTATTTAGATATATATATATATATATATATATATATATATATATGTATATGTTATTATAGGCGATTTTTGGCGATTGTATGGTACATATACCAAAGTGTACCAAACTATAGTTCGAGTGACTTCAAATTATAGTTTGGTACACTTTGGGTACATGTACCATACGATCGCCAAAAATCGCCTAAAAATCTTATATATATATATATGTATATTATATATATATATATATGTATATATATATATGTATATTCGTATATTAGGTATATTAGGTATGCATGTAAACATATAAATTGGCCATTACGCTTACATTCAACGAAATGCGAAAAATCAAATCACGAAAATTTTACACTACGTAAATTTTGCAGTAAGGCAGTATTATGCGTTTCATCTTTATACGATAAATCATACTTCTCGTTGAAAATGCTACACATGTAACGAACAGCGAAATCACTTGAACTATTTATTATTGTGATTGAACAGCACAACACACGTGTAATATTGATCAACGTTGTATCTGCGATTGTGATCTTTTTAATTGTTTTTTGACGCTGAGGTTTATCACAACTCTTATCTTTATTTTGAATAGAATTAAAGAGAAGATGCATACCTCTTATCCGTTTCGTTTCTGTAGTGAACAGACACTGACATACGCCAAATGTTTTAATGCGATAAATTATTTATCAAGTCAAAATCTGTGAAACTGGTTTTCTTTTTTTACATGAAAAATACGAACTCTCTTATCTATACGAATCATTGACGCGCGGTGAGTTCGTAATTCATAAACAATGAATGAGAGAGTTATGTGTAAGTGTGACTTTTCAGTATTATCCGAAAGAAATTTGTTATTGCGTATTGACGAGTTCGTTGATTATTAAAAAAAAGTTTGTTTTACTTTATGCCTTTACGCGCGAGAAAATTCACAATAATCTTATCAAATCCGCTTCCGGTCATACAACGACAACAAATTTCGCAACACATCTTTAATTCATAATAACATTTATAATAATATTGCATTGAACAAAATATATTTTTATGTAAATTAATAAAATTGTGTTTTTAAATTATATAATTTTCACATAATTTTTTATAAATATATTGATATTAATAAAGATAATATTTGAGAAAGGAACTCCACATTTCTCTGTATTTCATCATTTTTGATTACTTGCGATCTTTCTTCTCTTCCGAATTTTATATAACCTTTGCGGAAACTTAAAAGATTATTTGGTCGAAAGCGGATTAACGACAATTTCCTCAAAATCTTAAAAGTGTAAAGCAGTCTGTAATGTAAAAATATTGATTATAGCGATCGTAATGATATAGTATCTGTGTGTGTACACACACACACACACACACATTATAATGTGTATACTTTATGTAGAAAGTATTGTTCCACAGATTCATAGCATAATGCGCATTAATAGATCCTACTTAAAGAAAGATGTTTTAACAAGCGGAAGAGAAAAAGAACCGTTTGTTGATTCATGAATATATGAATAACGAATTATTAGACTTTTTTACATTCATTATAAGAGAGAACTGATCTGAGTGCCAAACTTCTATAAGTATATATATGTATATATATATATACACATGTATATGTATAATTACTATAGATTGTATTTTCCCTGCCGACTGAGAATGCATTACTCTTCTAAGAAATTAATTATTTAATAAATTGAATGTGCAATGTTAAGTATAAACACGTCTTATTTATTATTTATTGTATCAAAACGACTCGCTTCTTAGTTATTATTCACATTATTGTATGCGCGCACATCTGTAATTGTCAAGTAATTGATATCCTACGTACACAATAATATATCTTTTTATATAAATTTGTTTTATAAATGTTTCTGTATTAAAAAGTTAAAAAATTAAAAAGTTTTCGTTATTGTTTATGTATACATATAATTGAAAATACAAAACTCTGTTGACAAATATTGAAGATCAAGATATAAAAACTATTTTCGTATTTAAAGTTTAGATATACTAAAAAAAAACACAGCTAAGTGTGTAATCCACTGAAATGCAATCTAACGACCGCTTATGGTATATACGCGATATTAGTTTTTTGTTTATACTAATTGTCTGTTTGCGAAATAAATAAAGACATTTTATCGTGCATTCTCTCTACATACCCACATAGCATATATCGTAGCGCAAACGTTTCTGCAACGGGTTTTCCGAAACTTAGCAACGTTTCGTGAAACATTTCTAAAACGTCGTAGTAACGTAGCAGAAACGTCGAAATGTCCGCTTTTTAAGTTTCGGTCTGATTTTGTTGAAACGTGTGAGAAACGTTGCCCAATAAGTTGCAAAGTTTTTAATGTTTATATTTTTATAAACATTGTAAAATACATTGTTGAAATCATGCAGGTTTTGCTTGCTTAACTATTCTCCAGGAAGGAGTGATTACTTAAGTAATTCTACTCTGCTGCTTCGTGTCCCAGCTGTAAGCGTACGAAAATACATAGAACGCGAAAACTTGTACAACTACAAGTTTTCGCGTTCTGTGACAGACCGGCCCAGTGGTCTCGCGGCCTGAGTGCAGGGGCTGCGAATCCGGAGGTCCCGAGTTCGAATCCGCTCACAACCTTAAGGATTTTTTCCGGGCCGATCCCTTTCAACCGAGTTTATCGGTTGATTGGCGAACTGAATCGGGCCTCCAATAATTAATTCGGGTGTAATCCCGAATAACAGCTAGTGATTATCATAATCAATGTGCTCTCTTAATATTATTCTAATCACAAATATTAGAATAAAGAATACTATATAGAATACTATATATAGAAAATACTATAAAGAAAAAATACTATATAGAAAATACTATATAGAATAAAGAATACTAATATATTTATATCTCTCGTCTTGAGTAATTTGTTGTCTCTTTTTTTTTGGCACGTCTGCAAGATTCACAATCACACTAATTGGAAGTCGATTCAGAGTTTCTGTCGATGATGACAGGCCACTCTTTTCTTTTATCTTGCCTTCTTTTTTCTTTTTTTTGACAGGTATCTCGTTTTTATCTTGATCTTCATTAGTTTCAATATCTTGTAATTTTCTTTTTTTTATCTTCTTCAATTCTTCATTAGCTGTAATGCAATTTGTAGTATGTATATCTTTTAAAGCTTTATCTTGTGCTTCAAAACTAGATTTTGATCTATTACTGTGTAACATAATATTATGTAATTGTAGTTTGCCAGATTTTACTTTTTTATCAGATTTTAATTTTGAAATTTCAGGTTTCGATTCCGCAGTCCTTTCTACTTCTTTCTTTTTTTCTGACAATGTGTCTAGACAATATTCTTTATTTTCTTTCAATCTTTTTTGTTTAAATTTCTTTAAACAAAAAAGATTAAAACAGACATCGAGAGTGAAGAACAATATATGATAAAAGATAATGAATTTGAGAAGAAAGAAGCAAACTATGATCAACAAACGTGCAAAATTATAGAACACTGTATAAAAAGTAACAATGAAGAAGATGTGAATGAAGAGAATGATAAAGAAGATGCATATAAGATGAACTCGGTAAAAATAAAAATTACTGATGTTACTAAAGGACTTAAGATCAATAAAAATAAGAAGAGTAAGAAATCACCTAAGACTATTTCGTCTAGTAGTGAATCAAAAACAAAACGATATGTCGAAGCGACAAAATCACCTGTGAACAAAACTGAAGAAAATATTTTATTGGATGTATCAACTCTGACTTCGTCGTTCGAACAAAAAAAAGAATTAGATCCACAATGTTCTTTAAAAAGGAAAGCAGAACAAACTTTGGCTAAACAAATCAACACGTCTGCAATAGAATCCAAAAAGATTATCAGACCATCTGTTGCGATATTAGGATGTAGTACACCAAAACTCAATTTACAAAATAAAAAATCTCAAACTGTCGTTTCAGAATTACAATCTGATAACTCTAGTAACGTAGAAATAAAAAAACGTGTAACATTTCAAGATATAGAAACAAACAATCAAACTACAAAAAAGAATTTGAAGAAAAACATTAAATTAGATAAAATAGATAAATTAATACAAAATACTTTATATAACAAGAAGAGAAATCAATGAAGATCTCTGAAAGAGATATTAATTTGGAAAAATTAAATTATACGAATGGTAAGAAACAAATATTAAATGCCAATTCTGCTAATAATGCTATACAAGAAAGTAGTCAACAAAAAAACAAAAAACGAAAAAGACAAGAAAAAGAAGTGTGGAATGAGATGCCACTGATGAGCTTGTGTTACAAGAAATGAAAGAATTATGCCTGCGCATAATGACGCTCGACCATCTATGCCCATTATTTGGACTTCGTTCGTCTCCCTTTCTCGGGCCTCGTACCTCTCATTGCGAAGATACGCGACTAGCAATATAGGAGTATTACATATATGTTTAATGTAGTAGAATATTTCAGTGTTAGTATTTTACTACACACTCAGAAAGAGAACGCACTCAGTGCACACTAGTGCATCCAATCGAATTCGTATTCGTATTTGTCAGTATTCTCCCTGGTATCAGTGATGAAAGTTTTGGCAGGCTAGCACCAAGAGCACCGAGGTGGTGGGAGCCACTGGGAATACGCACACAAGCGAGACCGCCGTCCGTGTGCATGACGTCAGACACACGGACGGCGGTCTCGCCTGTGTGTACGTATTCCCAGTGGCTCCCACCACCTCGGTGCTCTTGGTGCTAGCCTGCCAGAACTTTCATCACTGCCTGGTATGAGAAATCCGCAGCTGCGTTCCGATATATTCACTGTCAGTAGAAAAAATCTATATTTCACGTCACATGTGCTATAGATCTGGTCCATTACCGGCAGTGAAAGTCGGAACGCAGCTCGCGTCTTCACACGTAAAGGCGTGTACGCACGTACATGTGTGTACATAAAATTTCAGATTATCCTATAACTGATAAGTATATAAATTACATCAATACCGGAAGAGAAAAAAACATGAATTTATTGTCGGTATGAATAATTCAGAAGAGTATCGTCGCGCCATCTGTAAAATCAATCGCGCATGTTATCTCAAATTAGCGCGAAAAAGGTGCAGTAACCTTCAACATGGCTTCTTGCGTGCGGTGAGCTTTCGATTATTTTCGACTTTTTAACCTTCAGAAAATGGAAACATCAATTTATCGGCGAGCAAATAGGGAGTTGCTCAATCGAGCTGCTTTCAATGATCACATATATGATTTGGCCGTTTTTCGATCCAACTTCAAAGATTTCACGATCAGATCGTTACCGCTGACGTGTCTCGCGCATTACATATTTACTTTATCGTATAAATGATAATTTTTTAATTATAACTCGTCGCGCACTATCGGTCTAATCTAATCTGTCGCCGAACGATTGCGATATTCGCTACAATATCTTACGAGATTGCACAATTTCATTTAAACAAAACGCTTTCTCATCAATACTATGTAAGTCGTTGCAGTGATGCGTGCAGCAGTTTGTTTTTTTTCTTCAAATTGTTATCCGTGCGGACGAAAATGTAATGTAATTGCCGATAAGCATTATTTGTGAATATTACCATATAAATGTCATAGTTTATACAAAAACATTCTATTCTAAATGTTATCTCAGCAAAAAGATGTTTATTTTGTCACATGCTTTTTAGGTTGACTCTATTTTTAGTATTGCTATGTTCACCATTCATTGTTGATGCAGTTAATCGAGATCAATTTAAAAGATGCGATCAGAGCAGCTTCTGTCGGTAAGTCAAGTTATAAGTTTACATATTCTCAGCAAACTTGAAGAATTAAATTTTGTGTGCAATTATTTTTTTTTTTTATCTTACACAGACGATGCAGAAAGATGGAGTCTGGCAAAACACCTTATCAGCTCTTACCAGACACATTTGTACAAAATGAATCCATGATCACAATAGACTTGTTCAATAAAGATACAGGTGTTTCATACATATTACAAGTCACCACATTAAAAGAGAGTACATTTAGATTATATATAAATGAAAAAAACCCGCTGCATCTCAGATACAAAACTGAATATGCTCTTCATGATCAACCACAAACAGTGAACATAGATCTTGTTGAGAAGAATGCAGAAAGTATAACTGTAGTGAAGGGTGAAAACAAAGCAATTCTACATGTAAATCCATTTAAAGTGGATCTATATTCCCAAGATGTTTTAATGATATCAGCAAATGCTCGTGGCCTTATGAGATTTGAACATTTGCGTACCAAACCAGTTAAGTAAGTATTGCAGAAAAATAATTGATCTCTAAAAGATCTTATATACACAACTTTTATATTTTATACTGATATTGTTGCTTATAGATCAGAACAAGATGAGAATGAAGCTGCAGAAACAAAGAACAACACGTATCCTGGTGACAGCGCTGACGATGATCCTGGTGCCTGGGAAGAAAGCTTCAAGGAGCATCACGATTCCAAACCATTTGGACCCGAGGCTGTAGCCATGGATTTCAGCTTTCCTGGATCGGAGCACGCTTATGGTATACCAGAACATGCTGATTCGTTAGCATTACGCTCAACTAAATCCACCGATCCGTACAGGCTATACAATTTAGATGTGTTTGAATACGAAACAAACGAGCGTATGTCTGTATATGGCGCGATTCCAGTACTTTATGCTCATGGGTAAGAAATTTATTAATTAGATTACCTGTGTAAACTAAAATTTATAAAAGTACATTTGTGAATATTGAAATATTCATATATATACTTGTTTTAGAAAAGATAAATCATCAGGTGTTTTCTGGCACAATACAGCAGAAACTTGGATCGACATTTTATCAAGTGCAGATAATAATGTTGTGGAAAGCATTGTTAATTTTGTGTCTGGATCTGCTAAAAAATCTCAAGTGGACGCTTATTTCATGTCAGAGTCCGGAGTGATTGATGTGTTTTTCATGTTAGGTCCAAAGCCGCTTGATGTTTTTAGACAGTACACTGTTTTAACTGGCACAGCGCCTTTGCCGCAGGTATGTTAAATACAATGTAAACAAGTTTTTGAAAACACTATACTACTTAAGTTAAAACCGAGATTTCTTATTTTTTTCTCAAAATATGCATTTTAGATGTTTGCTCTTGGATATCATCAATCTCGTTGGAATTACAATGATCAAGACGATGTCGCAACTATCGCCGAAAGTTTTGATATACACGATATTCCGCTGGAAGTAATGTGGCTTGATATCGAATACACAGACAACAAAAAGTATTTCACGTGGGATTCGCGTAAATTTCCGAACCCTCTTGAAATGATACACAATCTCACGACTAAAGGCAGAAAATTGGTGGTTATTATCGATCCTCATATCAAACGTGATAATAATTACTTTTTGCATAACGATGCCACCAACATGGGTTATTACATCAAAAACAGAGATGGAAAAGATTACGAAGGCTGGTGCTGGCCCGGATCTTCGTCGTATCTCGACTTCTTCGATCCAAAAGTTGTCGAATATTACATCAGTTTATACGATCTGGATAAGTTTCATGGTACCACTAACGATGTCTATATCTGGAACGACATGAACGAACCGAGTGTGTTTAACGGGCCGGAAGTAACCGCACCGAAAGATCTTGTTCATCATGGAGGCTGGGAACACAGAGACGTTCACAATATTAACGGGCATATGTACATCCGTGCGACGTACGAAGCTTTATTCCGTCGGTCGGGCGGTTCTCTCAGACCGTTTGTTCTAACGAGATCATTCTTTGCCGGATCGCAACGCTACGCAGCAATGTGGACTGGCGACAATACGGCAGAATGGAGTCATCTACGTATAAGTTATCCCATGTGTCTCTCGGTGGCTATATCCGGTATGTCGTTTTGTGGTGCCGATATCGGAGGTTTCTTTAAAAATCCAGACTCCGAGCTGTTTATCAGATGGTATCAGGCGGGAGCGTGGCTACCTTTCTACCGTCAACATTCTCATATCGAAACAAAAAGACGCGAACCGTGGACGTTCAACGAGGAAACCACCCAAATAGTTCGCGATACACTCAGACTGCGATACTCTTATCTGCCGCTTTGGTACACGCTCTTCAGAGAACATGAGATAAACGGTCTGCCCGTTATACGTCCTTTATGGGCGCATTATCCTACCGAATCGGAAACGTTCACCATCGATGACCATTTGTTACTCGGCGACGCCATACTGGTGCGCCCGGTATTTCAATCCGGTGCGACGGAAGTATCGGTTTACTTTCCAGGAGAGGGCAAGGTGACTTGGTACGATATCGACACAATGCTACCCTATCAAAACGCAGGATACGTTAATATACCGGTAACGATCCACAAGATTCCCGTGTTCCAAAAAAGTGGTTCCATCGTTCCGCGAAAAATGAGAATACGACGTAGCACAGTCGCCATGAAGAATGATCCTTACACGCTTATAATAATTGCCGACAGTAACGGCAAGGCCAGTGGCAATCTATATATCGACGATGAAACCAGCTTTGAATATCGCCACGGCAAATACCTCTATCTGAGATTAACTTTGAATGGCTATAAGATAAGTACAACTATAATAGACAACCTAGCTTCGTACGAAACACAAAGCTGGTTAGAGAGAATAGATATAGTCAATCCACCGAAAAGAATTAAATCTGCTCAACTGGATTCTCGCAGTAAGTAATCAGATTAAAATACGTAATTATTCTGTAATTAATCTGTGTAAAACTTGTATAACAATTATATAAATTTTTTTTTACGCAGGTATGGGAAAAGTGACATTGGAAACTACATATAATCCCCATAATGACGTATTAACGATACGTAAACCAGGTGTAAATATGGGCGAAGCATGGGTTATTGAATTATTATCTTAAGATTGTGGATCTTACTCATAAACCGAGATTCCCAATAATCCATACGATAATGCTACTTTTTTATTACATGTTTTCAGCTATCTGTGATCTGAATGATTACGTTTCCTAGAGCAAAGAATACGATTTAGCTATACTTTGAGAGTGAAATGATTGTTACTAACTTTATTCTGTCTTCTTCGACAAGATATGATATTTATAGCGTTTACAATATGTGCAACATGATATATCTTGGACGAACTTTGTATAAGAGCAAGTCTCTGTAACTTACAATTTTATTTTATACAACTCAATAAAAATATGAAAGTAAAAGAGCTATTGTAGCTATTCTAGCACATGTAACATTACAGCGTATTTTACATATTTAGTATATTTACATCAAGAATTATATACTTAATATAGAATATTATCGGCCAGATGAAATGTATGCCAAAAATTTAAAATTTCTTTAAATAAATTAATCGAAGCATGTATGAACATCCGATCAAATAATAAACATGCTAATTATTTACCTAGTAAATTTGTAAGAGAGGGATTTTTAAATAAAGTACTTTTTTGGTGTAATAAGACGGATTTCAATAAAAAGTATTTTTACTTCGTTATATGTGTTCCGTCGGTGCGTGTTTATGAGCTAAGTACAAAAACACTAGTGACGATAACGCCGATACCAAAAATATAACATCGAACCATCTATGATAAAAATTGAATTGTAACTCTCCTAGAACTTGCGTTATTATAATGCGATATTCCGCTGGCATATTCATTCGCATAAGAAGCACAGAAGACACAAAGTACATTCCCTGAAAAAGACGGCAGTAAAAATATAAAGTTGAAAATGAATAAAAGTTTACAAATGTTATAGACATTTGTTTATAGTTACGAAGTTATACGTATTCTTACCATTATTTGAGCCAATATTAGTACAATGATATTTGATGACTTACTGCTCGATATAGCGTAGAAAAACTGAAACAGGCAAATAAACGATGAAATATTTAATTAGTTTAAGAATGAAAAACGATCAAAAAAGTAATTTGTATTCTCTATATCACACATAATATTTTTTCTTTATTGCGTACTGTGAATGTGTTGAAATGTGTGTGCGTGTACATATACGTAGGTCAGAGTTCTCTTATAAGAATAAAAAATAAATCACATAAAATATGTAAAATACACGTATGGCTTGTGTATACCTTTGTCAGAGTTAACAACAGTCCACGTATGGACGTTACGACAATACAGCCGACGAGGTAAAAAGAAATGTGCTGCGACCAAAATGTGACATCAATATTGAAACCGATCCAATGTACTGCGATCTCGATTCCTCTGGTCACAGGATCTTTCTTACCAACTCGATCGAATACTATGTTAATCGTGGACTGCAAACGTATAATACAAGAATTTGTGAATTATTTTCTCTCACATTGATTTCAACCGTAAGTAGCAACCGGAGCTTACAATAAATATTTTCCAAGTGCAGTATAAAGAGAAGAAATAACCTAGGAAATTGAAATATTTTCCTTGCCAAGTAGCGGCCCATTCCAAACGTTCTCTCGCATTTTGTATGTCGTGCGCTTCCAAAAATAATTGTCGCGATAACTCTTCCAGAGCGGTAACTTCGTACTGTAATTGCTTTATAGCTGTAAAAACAAAATATAGAAAATGTGACCATGAATGTTATCACAAAAAAATTGTCTATAAAAGTAAAAAAAAAAAACCACATATGTACTTTCTTGGTTTCTTTGTGCAACACCCAGTGGTCTTAACATTCCCCACAGTCGAGATCGAGTTTCGGTTTGTTCAACAGATTCGCCCTTTTTGGCTAACGCAATTCGTTTCTTTTTCGCAATAATCATATCTATAGTCTGCATCAATCGTTTCTCTATAGACTGCACATCTGCATAAGAGACCGGTCGCATAAAATAAGCCATTGAAGTGTACGGATAATTAACAGCACCAAATCCTGAGAGAAGAGCCATCACCGTAACACCGATGACTCCTATTCGACTAACACCCTGTTCTATAGACAGCAATCCTTTTTTAGGGCTCAGTATAGGAAAAGGATCGCCCACTTTCCAAAACAAGTAGAGATAGAAAAAGTACACAACAACTGTCAGTGGCCGTATTAGATTCAGTCTTACTGCACACAGATTGAAAAAATAATAGTAACAGAAGATAAATAGCAGAAGTATAACAACGAGATAGATATAAAAAATACATACCAAATCTGATATTGCTAATGATAAAATACGCTATATAAAATGGTATCAGAACTATCACCATAAATAGAAGCATATAGAGGCCAACATTCCAATGGAAATATCTAGAACTAGAGAATAAATGTAATGCAATTTGAATGTGATGCAACGTAATTGTACAATTAGTAGTTACCTTGAATCAAGTACTCCTACTATTTCAAAAATAATTAATTCAAACATAGTACATGACAATGAAAATGTTGTTGAGAAAATTAGTTGCACTAATCTATGATGAACTTCGTAATCCCTGAACAATTTCTTCACAAAGAACACCCATCCTCCAAAGAAAAAAATCACCTGAAATATACAGGAAACAAGTAAATAGTAACTATTTGTTGAATGTAAACGATTTTATTCACATGTGAAAAAAACATTTCTCTCTGAAACTAAATAAGAAATAAACATATATTCAAAATATTTTAGTAAACAAACTTTAGTAAACAAACAACATAAGACTTTACAACATAAAATTTATTATAGTATTTATTTCCAAACATGTACAATACGCAAGGCTTAGTTTCATAAATATACTAAATTACAAAATTAGTTTTACAAAGTTTAGATTCATACATATATTACGTATGAAAGCAATTGTATAATGTAATGTCAATCTTAGAGAAATTTTATAATTTTGTAGTGAAAAACAAATTTTAAAAATATACAAAAACTTTATTGATACTAAATCTCACTGTTGGCAGAGTACAAAATTTAGCTCGTACTATGTAAAATAAATAAAGTTTTACATTGTTCCTTGAAATACACTGATTTTACACGTGTGATTTTTGAGTTTTTAATAACCTAAACAAGTTCGAAAAATACATTGTTACGAATGACTTTTACAGAAGAAAATTTCCACCTGTGTGACAAGAATCACAAAAGTGTCCTCAATAAAACCCATGTTCCGCTGTTACAAATGTCACTTTGCATTGCGAATATTTAACCGGGTATTTGACAGAAGATGTATAGGTAATTCCAAACCGCTTTCAAACATATTACGGAACAGAACCAAAGCTGCGCTTATGCGCTGCCTACAAAACGCTAAAGTTTGAGGAGCTATTGGGTGCGTTCCACTAGATGACTGCAACGCTCGCAACGCCTTAGTGTAGTATAGAAATCTGTGCAGTTACAATAGACGAGTAATATAAATATTGATCGACCGGCCCAGTGGTCTCGCGGCCTGACTGGAGGGGCTGCGAACCTGGAGGTCCCGAGTTCGAATCCGCTCACCCCCTAAGGATTTTTTCCGGGCCGGTCATTTTCAACCGAGTTTATCGGCGAACTGAATCGGGCCTCCAATAATAATTAATTCGGGTGTAATCCGAAAAAAAAAAGAAGAAAAGAAGCCTGTTTATGTAACATATTACACATTATAGATGCTGATTCCATACCAACAGCTCTTGTAAGCGATAATGGTATTTTTGTTTCAGAACCAGCTCGAGTAAGATGTCCAGATTGACTTTGACTTTTTACCAAGGTTGGGTAAGTTAAATTTTTTTTTTATTTAAGTTAAGTTACAGTTAAAGGTCTTAAAAATTTTATTTAGTTAAGATATAAGTTAATCCATAATGAAATTAATTGATTAAAAGTTAAGTTAATAAAAAAAA